CCGAACCCCGCCTTCTCGGTCACCGGGAAGAGCAGGGGCGCCCCCCGGACCCTAGGTCGGCCTTGTCGGTGTGTCCGGAAGTGAAGTTTGCTGAGTCATTCACTGCTTTTTTTTCTGACTGCCGCCGCTTGTGACCTCGTGTGAATTACACCTGTGTATCGAACCTCTGCTGTTCGGTTGCAAAAGTGCACGCTGTTCGTATCTGTGTCAGGAGCCCACAGGGGAACACAGTTCGAAATGAGGTTCTGCCGGACGTAGTACAGCCCCGTAACCCTCCAGCAGGACCCGTTTGCAGCTGGGCTCCTGCATTGAAAGGTTCGGGTCATGCAGCAGTTGCACAGAGGCTGCCAGGCCACAGAGTGGCCAGAGACACAAAGCAGTCCCCGCAAGGCAGTTGTATCTGGCTGGAGGCCACCTAGAGCCCAGAGCATGGGACCAGGGATGGACAGGCTGTGCCACAGTTTGAGGAGAAAGTCAGGAAGGGGTCCCCTGTAGGAAGGGGAAACCGGACGAAATTTGTGGGTACGCTTTGTTTGGACCTGTTGAGTGGGATGCTCGGTGGGCTGGGCTGTGTGTCTGCCGTGATTCTCTGGTCCACATAGGCTTACTGTCCGTTCATCCCCAGGTACTGGAGGACACATGCCGGCGGCAGGACTTCAACCCCAGTGAATACGATCTGAAGTGAGTTTACTCAGGCTCAGCTGTGGGCTTCTCAGTCCATGAGGTGCTTTCTTCAACACACATGCTGTCTCTGCATTGGAAAAGCCCCTTGGGTAGTTTAAAACAGGTTTAATCTTACCCAGTTCTGGAGGCAGAGTCTAAAGTCTAGGTGTCGGTATGGCTGTTCCCCGAATGTTCTAAGGCCTAGAGAGAGAGAGGCCTTACCTCTTTGAGCTTCTGGCTGTCCAGGTGTTGTTTGGCCCGTGATGCAATCATGACAGCTTCTGCCTCGATCTTCAAATGACCTTCCCCGGTCTGCTATGAGGACACAAGTCACTGGGTTTAGGGTTCTTGGGTTAGTTCAGGGTGACCTCATTTAATTTGTTCCCTTAACGTCCATAAATACCTGTAGCAAATACAGTCATGTTCACAGTTTTCAGGAGCAAGGACAGTGGTGTCTGTCTGGGGGAGCACTATCTAACCCTACAGTATGGAACTTAAGCTCATTTGAGTATGTAAGTTCCTGGTGGGGTTCTTTGGGCAAAGACCTGGTCATGGAGAAATGGGTAGAAACCTGTAAGTGGCTTTTCATCTTAGAGACATGTGCTCACAGTATCGTGGTCCTAACACGAGAGCCTACTCTCCTGACCTTTTCCACATTGCATCGTGAGCTTTCTAGGAAGACGTTTCTTTAGAAGCATACCTGTATCAGGCTGCTCCAGTCTGCAGAATCACAGGACATGTGCTCTGAGTGGCCAGGCTATCCTGCAGTGTCCTGCCACAGAGCTTTGCTCCAGCCCTGTCAGGTTGACCAGCCAGTGGGCCACATAACGGTGTGTGGTTGGAACAATGACTATAGTTTGAGTCAGTTCCTCTACAACACTGTATTAGCTTTGCCCTAGGCTCTCATTCCCACCCACTGACTGAAATGTGTTTAAGAAGTGCTGTCACTACCCTGGCTGGTGCCTGGCTGTAAACAGAGTGGCCTTTCCTCTCCACCCATCGCTGTCAGTCCTCCGGCTGCTGTCCTGCTTAGCACTAGCATTTCCTATGGCAGCTTGCAGTTTTTAAGCCCATGTTGAGGGTTGGGATCAGCAGTGTCCAATTCTCAGTTCTACCTTTATCTCTCTGTTTTCTTTTTCTTTCTTTTTTTTTTTTTTTTAAATTTTTCAAGACAGGGTTCCTCTGTGTAGCTTTCTAGACCAGGCTGGCCTCAAACTCACAGAGATCCACCTGCCTCTGCCTCCCCAGTGCTGGGATTAAAGGCGTGTGCCACCAATGCCCGGCTCTTTTTTTCTTTTGTGAGACAGAATCTCACTATGTAGCCCTGGCTGGCCTGGAATTCACTGTGTAGCCCAGGTTGGCTTTGAGCTCACAGAGATCCTCTTTACCTCCTGAGTGTATATACCACTACACCTGACTCTTTCTCAGTTCTTTCAAATACCCTTGGGCTTTATAAATAGGTCACAGTCCCGAAAACTGTTATTTCCAACAGTACCTTGCATTTATAATGTCAGGCTAGTCACTTTCTGTGTTTAAAAGTGGATGGCTATAGACCATATATTCAAATTTCACACAAATTTATCTAGTTCTGTAGTTTCCTCTTAAATGTGCATTAAAATAGAGGTCAGGACCTGAGCCCTCTTGTCCTCCAGCAGTCCTCAAGTGGACTATGCTTGTCCCCTGGGCAAGGTCATGTGGCTTTGTTTTCAGAGTTGTGGGCTGGAACTGTTCTGGGACGGACGTGTGAACTGTAGGGTGGATAAGTCCCAGAGAGTCTTGGGACCTAAGGGAGTCAGGATGAAAAGGAACAAGGCTAGGAAGGCTACTGGGTGGAGGCTGTGATCCTTCCCCTGTGATGACATTGAGCAAGCTTCCCTCCCTTCTTCCCTGCTCTTGTCTTCCAAGGGACAGGTATTAGCTTTTTTTTTTTTTTTTGGACCCATAGTGGGATGCCATGGAGCCATGCCTCAAGATCCAGGTGTTACCTTTGTGTGGCCTGAGCTGTCATTGAACTCTGCAGTTTTGAGATAAGCTGTCTGGAGAGGGCAAAAGCTTAGAGGCTGTTTCCAAGATAATGCCTGAGTCTTCCCTGATAGACATGTGCGGATCTCTTGCTCCTTTGATGCTTTTGAGAAACCATATGTTGGAAGCCCCTATAAGGCCTTGGAGCCTCCCTGCTCAGGACCCAAAGGAGGTTTTAGGCTTGCCTTGTTCCAAGGGGATCCTGATTGGGAGGCATTATGCTCTCTCTTCAGGCCTTCCTGCACACTAACCCCTCAGGATGTAGGCAGAGAGGTAATGGCTACTGTGGCTTTGTGTCTTGTCTGGCCTCACTCTGAATTTCGATAAGAACACTGGACTGAGCTGTTGCAGAGATGGTTCTCGTGGGATCTGCCTCCTCTGCTTGTTCCGTGTCCCTTTGGGTTGCAGCAGGCAGGAGTAATGGGATTGCGGCTGGAATGACAGAGGACAGTCTGCTGGATTTCCCCTGGTCTTGCTTGAGACAACTTTCTTTTTTCTTTATATTGTGCACATAAATTGTGTGTGGTGCATGTGTGTGTGATGCATGTGTGTGGTGTGTGGTGTGTGTGTGTATGTGTGGTGTGTGTGTGGTACGTGTGTGGTGTGTGTGTGGTACGTGTGTGGTGCACACGTGTGTGTGTGTGGTTGTGTGTGTGTGTGGTATGTGTGTGTGTGTATGTGTGGTGCGTGTGTGTATGTGTGGTGTGTGTGGTGTGTGTGTGTGGTGTGTGTGTATATGTGTGGTGTGTGTGTGTGGTACGTGTGTGGTGCACATGTGTGTGTGGTTGTGTGTGTGTGTGTGTGTGTGTGTGTGTGGTGTGTATGTGTGGTACGTGTGTGGTGCACGTGTGTGTGTGTGTGTGTGTGTGTGTGTGTGGTGTGTGTGTGTGTGTATGTGTGTGGTGTGTGTGTGTAGGTCAGAGGACAGCTTGCTGGAGTCAGTTCTCTCCTTTTACCAGCTTGCTGTCACCCATCATGTAGGGTTTTTTGTTTTTTGTTTTTTTTCAGAGACAGGGTTTCTCTGTTGCCTTGGCTGTCCTGGAACTCACTCTGTAGATCAGGCTGGTCTGGAACTCACAGAGATCTGTCTGCCTCTGTCTCTTGGGTGCTGGGATTAAAGGCTTTTACTACCATGCCTGGCCCTGTAGGACTTTTTATGAGTCAAAGTTTTGCAAAGTCCAAGCTGGCCTCCAATTCTCTACATAGTCAAGATGATCTTGAACTCCCAAGCTTTCTGTGTCTACCTTCTCAGTACTGGGATTACAGGCATGGGCTACCATGCCAGGGTTGTACAATACTGGTGATTGAACCCAGGGCCTCATGTGTGTTAGGCAAGCACTCCATCAACTGAGCCATACTCTCGTGAGACACCTTTCTGAGGGTCTGCTCTCTTGTGTCTGCTACAGTATCTATAGGTACCACCCTCACCCTTGCAGAGGCTCATCTTGTTGTCTTCCTGTTTGTATCCATGCCAGTGCTGTGCCTCTGAAGGTCCCAGGAGTCCAAGACTTTGCCTCTTGTTCCTTCAGGTCCTAACTTTCTGCTCTTGTAGTTGAGAGAGCAGTAGGCATGGGGCTGTGTCTTCAGGGCAGGGTGTGGCTGTGTCTGTTCTGCAGGTTTCAGAGGACCGTGCTTGACCTGTCTCTCCAGTGGAGATTTGCCAACCTGCCTAACAATGCCAAGCTGGAGATGGTGCCTGTGTCCCGGAGCCGAGAGGGACCCGAGAACATGGTAGGTGTCCAGTTGGGAAACACGGTGGTACTGCTTCTCTGTCTCTGCTGGGACTGTAGAGCGTGGGGTGGTACTGCAGTGAGATGAATGGCAAATGGGCCTAAGCTTTGCCCACGGGCCTGAGAAGGGCCGGAGAGGTTGAAACGAGCCCTGCGATCCATTCTGCCTTCCTCAGTCAAGCTAGAGCTACATTTCTTACTTGGATTACTCAGGGCTGGGAGTGAAATTTTTCTTTCATTATACAGGGTTTTTTGGTGTGTGTGTGTGTGTGTGTGTGTGTGTGTGTGTGTGTGTGTGTGTGTGTGTGTGTGTTGTTTTATGTTTTGGTTTTGTTAGGGTTTGTTGGTAGCATTTCCCTACCAGCTTCTGGTCAGAGATCCTGAATTTCTGTATGGGCATGGCTGACAGACATTTGCTTCTCAGTCAGCCTGCCTAGAGCTCTTGCTGTGCCTCAGCTGCAGCTTCGCCCACTTGCTGAGCACTGGCCCTCAACCTGTAAGTTGCAACCCTAGGGGGAGTCAGATGACCTTTTTCTCAGGGATTGTATATCAGATATCCACATAACGATTCATAACAGTAGCAAAATTAGAGTCATGAAGTAGCAATGGAATAATTTTATGGCTGGGGGTCACCACAACACAGGGAAGTGTATTAAGGGTTGCAGCGTTAGGAAGGTTGAGAACTACTGCTGTAGGGGATCATGTTGAAGGCATGGTTGCTAGGAGCCATATAAAAGTGGTATGCTCAGTAATAAACAGAGATTGAGAAAACACCCGTCCTCTGTGCTGTGTTAAACTTCCGGAAGTTGGTGACATCTTACTAAAGGTTCACACCTCACAGGATGCTGGGGCTGGGTCGGGAAGCAGAGGCCAAAACTGGTGCCGACTGGTGCCGTGTTTAGCTGGGGGTAGTGGTAAAGGGGACATTTCCATGATGGCTCACTAATGTGCCACCTACATAAAGGTGTTCATGAGCTTGATGATACAGCCCTCCTGAGAAGCCCACTCAGGCATCACACCCCTCCTCAGGATGGGTGTCCAGGAAGTGGGAAGGGCCTGGTTCTGGGAATCTGGGTCTGTAGGGATAGTGTGTTTCTTCCTAATTAGCGGTTAACCTCTCACCTCTCCAGGTTCGAATTGCATTACAACTGGATGATGGCTCCAGGTTGCAGGACACTTTTTGTTCCCGCCAGACCCTCTGGGAGCTTCTCAGCCATTTTGTACAGACCAGGTGAGCACTGGCAGGCAGATCCCAGGCTCTTTCCCGCCCCCTCCTGGCAGAGGCTTGAAACCCACACTGTGCTTCTGGCTAGAGCCGTGGCTCTTTGGTTTCTGCAGTCCTGACTGACTGCAGATGTGCATGTGAAGGTCTTGGCAGCTCAGCTTCCAGGCCTGCTGGCCTCTTGTCTTCCAGAAAGAGCAAAGGCGTTCCCCCATCTTCAGGGGAAGCAAAAGATCTGATGAGCTGCAAAGGGAAATGAGATGTGGGCTGTACCCCCCCTGCCCATGTAAGAACTGCATTTGGGGGGTCCTTAATTAGAATATGAGCAAAAGGCCACCTGATGCTGTGACATTGCTTCATACAGATGAGTTTTCCTGTTGGTTAATAGTTTAAATGTTATTCTGAAGTGTGTAAAACAGTATTTAAGTTTTCTTTGTGGGGTGGAAGCCTGCCTGCTTTTTTTGTTGTTGCTAATTTTTTTTTTTTTTTTTTTTTTTTTTTTTTTTTTTTTTTTTTTGAGATAGGGTTTCTCTGTGTAGCCCGGGCTGTCCTGGAACTGGTTCTGTATACCAGGCTGGCCTTGAACTCAGGAGATCCACCTCCCTCTGCCTCCTGAGTAGTGGGATTAAAGGCGTGCACTGCTCCCCCACCCCACAAGTCTGCTACTTTAGAAATCTCAACAAGCATAATAGAAGGAATAGTATTTGTTGTATGGCGTTAGATGAGTTGCTTGCCCTTTCTGGGTTTCTGTGGCCTCATCTGTACCATGGCAGTGGACAGAGTAAGCTAAAGAGTCTGGTGCAGTGAGATGTGGCCTGGCACAGGGCTTTGTGTGTGTAGGAGGGTGACTCTGAATCTGATGTTTATGGCGGCCCCATAGGTGAAGTATGCTTTGCTGTAGCAAAACCTGATTGGACAGGAAATGCCCAGCTGTCCCTATGGATGACGGTGTAAGGTCTACAGGTTCCATTCTCTAAGATACTGATGTCAACAGCCCCAGTGGCCTTGGGAATTGAAGCCAGGTCTGAAGTGGATTTAAGAGTGGGTTGAGGGAGTTGGAGAGATGGCTCAATGGTTAAGAGCAGTGGCTGTTCTTCCAGAGGACCAGGGTTCAATTCCCAGTATTACATGGTAGCTCGTGACTATAACTCCAGTTCCAGGGGATCGGACACCCTCACACAGACATTAATGCACATAATATAAAAATAAATAAATTATTTTTAAGAAGTGAGTTTTGGTCAGGTGCGATCAGCTATATAAATCTGAGGCCCATGTGATGGCCAGGGAGAGTTGGTGGCTGTGTTGGGCAGGAACTCCAGGACTTTTGTCCTTAGCATGCTGGTGAGATCATAGACACAACTGGTTCGAAAGGATTACTCAGGCTGTGGGTGCATATATGTTCAGTGAGGAGCATTCGCCTGAGTCTGATACCTGGTAATATGTATGTGCATGAGGGCACACACACAAAGTGCATTTTTCTGCCAGGTATGGCTTATGCCCATAATTCAGAACACTGAGGCAGGAGGCTTGTGAGTTTGAGGCCAGCCTGGGTTACACAGTGAGTTACAGACCAGCATGAGCTTGTCTCCAAAAACAAGGGAGGGAAGAAGGCAGGAAGGGAGGCTGTCTGACTTGCTGGTAGGCTAAGATGAGAAGGAATTGCTGGAATGAGGGAGCACAGCAGCAGTTGGGGCCACCTCAGTGTACGGCTTGTCTCTCAGCCACGGTTGCAGGTCACCTGGCCAGAGCACTGCTGTAGTTACCTGGGCTCCTCCCCATGGTGGTTGTGGGTATTGACTAGCAGAGCCTGGGAAATGGGATCTATTGAGGACCTGGGCTAATGAATGCTTGGATCTGGCTTGGCATCTAACTGCTGGCTACTGCAGGGCTACTTGAAGCCAAGTTCTTCGGCGTTAGAAGTTCCATGTCCATGGAGGGCAGAGAGCAGATCACTCAGGGTCAGTTGGGTTGCTCAGCCTTCTGTGCCAGGTCACTCACTGCAAAGCAGATCTGGAGAATGGATGCTCCAGACTGAGTCTGGCTGCAACAGAGAGCTTTTTAGAGCTGAAGACACACTGGCTCTGACTGAGAGGCTTGCATAGAGTCCCAGCCAGTAGGCAGAAGACCCTTATCAAGGGATGTTGTGAAATGTAGGATCTGGGGACAGAAATGATTCTGTTGCCTTCACAAGGAGGACAGGCTTGGATCCCCTGTTGGGGCCAGAGCAGTGCCTTCAAGATCTGCTTGTACTAGAATTCTCCCCTTGCCAGGGTGTCACAGAAGAGTGAGGATAGAACAGAACAGACAGCCCTAGATGTGAAAGTTCCCAGGTTTACTCTGAATATCTCTGTAAGAAGCTGCTGGTCTCCAAGGAAGGGGACTACAGACTTCGTACCGGGGTGCCGGGGTGTTAGGGCAAGATTTCTCAAGGACCATCAGGGGCGTGTACAGATGAAACAAAATAGCTATGGGAAAGATGCCATGAAAGATGCAGGGCCCGGAGAAAATGCCTCAGAGCCAAGGCGCTGTTCTTAGCTCACCCCAGGCTCAGGGCAGGGTCAAGACACTAAAAATTGTGGCTGCTTCTTTACTGTCACGTCTTTCATCACTGGAGAATGAAGATGAAATGGCCCAGAGTGTCTTAGGTTGTCTCCTGGTGAGGGGCTGAGGGAACCGGAAGGGTGGGAGAAAGCACTGGTGTCTGTATCTCTCAGGGTGTGCTGACTCCTAGCGTGAGTGTAGTTGAAGACACACATGCAGACACACATGCCCAGGAGATGAAGCAGCCCTGAGGTCAATGCCTCTGGGCCATGACAGTTGGCATGTCTGCCCCATTGATATTACAGATACCTTTTCAGCATGAGGGTGTTGGATACAGAGCCATTGATGCCCAGCTTTCTTTCATGATCCTGGGGATTGAACCTAGGGCTTTGTGCATGCTGCTAGGCATGTGTTCCACCACTAATTATATCCTTAGCCCGCTGTTTGCTTTTTCGCTCGTGCGCATGCCCGTGTGCATGTGCGAGTGAGTGTGTGTATACCCTGAACTTGCCAATTCAGGTAGGTTGGCTGGTCAGTGAGCCCCAGGGACCCTCGTGTCTCTGCCTCCTGGCTCTGGGGATTGGACTCCATCTTCAAGTTCATGTGGCAAACATTTTCCTGGCTCAGCATCTCACCACCCACTCCTTTTACGTTTTGAGACAGGGTTCTCACTTATTTGCTCAGTCTGCCTTGAACTTACTCTGTAGCCTAGGCTGGCCTCAGTCTCCCGAATGCTTGCATGCTGTCATTCTGTCTTTTGTTTTTGTTTGTGATTGTCATCAATATTTTCCTGAAGTTCCTCATGGTGTCCCTTCCTGCATGTTGCCTTCTGTTGAGTGGTCACAGCCTCCCTTTGTACCTGATGTATATACCTGTGCTGACATGCCCTGTTCCTCACTGTGAGGCCTGCATAGGCAGAGCTAGAGTGGACCACCGCAGCTTCCTGTCATCCTGCTTCCTTCCTCAGGATAAATTCAGAGATAGAATCCCTGGACCAAGAGGTAAGACATCCATGAATCCCAGCTCTGAACTTTCAGACCTGAGCTGTGCCCACTCATGCTCCATGGAAGGTGCGTTTTGAGTCTCACAGTGAGGGGTCGGGACTGTGTAGCAGGGACAGCAGTCTCATCAGTGGAGAGCTGATGCATAGCAAGTTCTAAGTTCCAAGTTCAAAGCTTTAGGCGTTCACCTCCTTGATGTTTCCTGGAAGGTGGAAGAATCCAGGAACACTGTGAGTGTCATCCATGTCTTTGGGGGTACCAGAGATTGGGCACTGAGGTCCATAGCCCATGAAAGGGCCCTGTTGAGGTTGTCATATCGGACATAAAGTGTGCTTTGTATATATGTGTTTGGGGGCTACTGGGTGGCTTTCTGGACTGGAAGTAGCATAGCTTTGGAAAGTGGTTCTTTCTGGCCTGACCCACCCAACCCGGAGTGCCTTGTAGGCCCCAATGTCATGGACATAACTTAGAACTTTATAGAAATCATGTTAATGGAAAAGTAAAAAGGAGTGTAATTAACTTTATTGATAAGTTTAACTAAGTACACCTAAAATACTATCTTTTGAAGCCAGGATGGTGGTGATGGTGGTGGCGCACGCCTTTAATCCCAGCATTCGGGAGGCGGAGGCAGGCGGATCTCTGAGTTCAAGACCAGCTGTATCTACAGAGCGAGTTCCAGGACAGCCAGGGCCACACAACACAGTGGAACCCATTCTTGAACTGCCCCCTCCCCTTTAATGTTACTCTTTGAACGTATAATCAGTTAAAAATTAGGTTATTTATGGTATAAGACTTTTGAAGATTTATTTACTTATTATTTTATCGGGTTTTTTTTTTTTTTGAAACAGAATTTCTCTGTGTAACCCTGGCTGTCCTGGGACTCACTCTATACCAGGCTGGCCTGAACTCAGGAATCCGTCTGCCTTTCCCTGCCTCTGCCTCCTTAGTGCTGGGATTAAAGGTGTGTACCACCATGCCTGGCTTGAAGATTTATTTCTGTTTTTCATGTTTGTCTGTATATGTGTATGTATGTATATGCTTGGTATATTGTAACTATAACTCTTTCTGCCAGCCAGCTGAGTTCTGCCGCCATGTTAGGGCCCCCAAATAACACACAGTCTTATATTAGTTACAATGCTGCTGGCCAATGACTAGGATTTCTTATTTGCTAGCTCTGTCTTAAGTATCAACCATAACCATTAATCTATATATTTTATAAAGACTTATCGAGGATGCCAGCGGCATGCGTCCTCTCTTTCCAGGATCACATGGCCACTCTCCCCTTTCCTACATTTCCCAGAATCCTCCTTCTCTTCTAGTCCCTCCTAACTTGCTTCCCTATTGGCCAACAGGGCTTTATTTATCAACCAGTAGGACAAGTATATACACAGAAGGACCTCCCCCATCAGTATATACACACATAACTGGATGTTATAGATGATATACGTCCATAACTCCCCTGGGACCGGAGCTGACAGACAGATGCTTGTGAGCCAACGTGTGGTGCTGGAGACCCCAGCTAGGTCATCTGCTAGAGCAACAAGTGCTCTTAACTGCTGAGCCACCTCTTCAGGCCTGGTGTGACATTTTTTACATTGGAGAGTCTTACTGGAGCTTCAGCTAGCCATAGTTGCTTGCCTCGGACTAGCCAGGCCTGCTGTCCACTTCTCTGGTACCAGGGAAGTAGCTGGGGTCACTGACTCTGAGCTGCCCCGTGGTCCCATACCCTGATGTCTGGTGAACGGCGGCACTGATGACTGGCCACGCAGATGGGCCTGTGCTTGCTTTATGGTCATGTGATGGTGCATCCCTTCAGTGGTTAGGCAAGACTCAAATGGAAATAACAGTGTCCAAAGGCTATAGAAGTAGAGATTAAGAATGTGTGGAAAGAGCCAGGGGCCCTGGGGCTTTGTAGTGTTACCCAGGCCTCCTACTATGAGTCAGAATTTACCACATGTCCGGAGGTCCTGCGGCTGTCCACACAGCCCACATGGGTGTGTAGTCAGAGGGCCAGTCCTGCAGGCTGCATCAGGCAAGTGGCCACCAGGAAGTGTTGAGTAAGACAGATGAGGTGGGGTGGGGTGGGGTGAGGAGATGAACCGAGGGGTGCTTTGGAACACCCCAGGATTCAGGCAGGTTCACACTATGCCTGTCTCTGACCCCAGGCTACTCTCTGAAGTCTGTTTGGGAACAGTGTGGTGATTTTTTTGGTTTTTGGTTCTTTTTGTTTGTTTGCTTGCTTTGTAAATGTCAAGTTCATGAGCTCGTTGCAGTGGGGACTTGCCCTCAGAGATGCCAACTGTGTGTGCTGGACACTCCTAGTACCCTACTGGCTCCATTTGCCCTCTGTCCAGATGTTCCCCTTTCTCAACTGGGTCCTCTTCTCTGCACCTGTCCCTTTGTCCCACCCTGGTCTTACTATGTGGCCCGAGCCTTTTCTCTGCCACTCCTAACTTTGAGTGGTCAACTACAACTCTCAGGGGAGCTGGGTGATTCTTGGGGTCCACAGGGTATGACAGGTTATAGAGAAGACTGTGGGTGATCATAGCACTCCCTGGGGCTCTGAGGTCAAGCCTGTGGCCATATTCAGGGTAGGTTTGTATACCCAGTGGGTACCAGCTCAGCTCCTGGCTGAAACTGTCTGGGTAGGACGGAGGCTTCTTTCCTTAGACTTGTGTAGGCTGTTGTCTGGGCCTCCTCATTTGGCTCTAGACAGATAATCCGCTGCACATGGCAGTGGGCACTGGCACCTAGTGCTCTTAGGACATGGCTTCACCCTCACAGGGCACCTAAACCCGGAGAAATCATACTAACTGCAGTCGCAGATCTGGTGCTTTGTTTTGTTTTTGTTTTTTCGTTTTTGCTGGTTTTACCTGTGTGTGTCATTGTCGTATTTGGGGACATAGTAGTGCCAGGCTTTTCTTGGAAGCACTGATGTTAACACCACTTGTGTATTAGTGAAGTCTGAACAAATGACTTATACAAAGGCTATAGACAGTGCTTGTCCCCAGCATACAGTGACCTCACAAGGAGCTGAGCCCCAAATACTCAGACTGTCCACTCCTAGGGAGATGGTGAGCTTTGTGGTGGGTGAAGCATGTATCTGAAGGCAACAGCAATGGCATCTACGTCCTGCTGAGCCACACTCCTCCTGCCAGGGGAGACTTGCTGGTCTTGGAGACCTTGCTGGATACCACTAGCACTTTCCTTGTGCCTAGGGGCATCTCTTATGTGGGTGAGTGGTGAGCCGCTCCGTTAGCCACCACCTATGGTACATTTCTCATCTGGAGCTTGACGTCCTGTGGCTCAGTCTGGTCTGGGGGGAAGGAGTAGGCCCTGTGAAGTCTGTGTGGGTGTGATGGTGTCCCCACTAGTGCATGAGGGGATGTCTTCTAATCCCATCACCAGGACTGGCAGTTCTGCTTGCTAGGCAGGGGTGGCAGGTCTGGAAGCTATTTTGGCTGCCCCTTCCTGGGCCTGTGGCCACATGGCATGTTTACACACTGCTCCTCTAGACTGCACGAGGGAGTGTGATCTGCCTGCTGCTTGCTCTGAAGAAGTAGCAAATGTCTGGTCACTTTGTCTCCATCTCCGGTTTGTTATCCTATAATGGCTCAGGTAAGGGTCCTGGAAGGGGCACTGCATTGGCTATGCCCTTGTTGCTAGTTTGGGTGTCTACTAGTCAGGTGGCAGGCAGTGTGGTCTACTTGTAGGAGTGTGTTATGTGTCTGGTATCTGGGAGGTAAAGTCCCTTAGTGTTCTTGTCTTCATTCCCAGTCAATATCCTTGTTCTCAGGCCTGTCTTCTTGGGCCAGTAAGAGTGGTTCCAGTACAGTTACACAGTGACTTGTATGAAAGGCCCTCTACAGTTCTACAGAGGGGATACCAGCTGTGGACCTTACATGTCCCACTGAGCCATAAGCCTGTTTGCAGGGTGGGTTTTGCGGTCTCCTTAAGTTCTGTTGTCCTGATGGCCTGACAAGGCCTCTGCACACAGTTGAAGCGGCAGTGTCGGGCCTTGTCAGGAAAGGCAGTACTCCAGGGGTGAGGGACATACAGGGCAAAAACAGAGCAGAATATCAAAGGAAAACACACCCTGCACACAGGCTGCAGAGGTCTGCTGATGGACTTGGGTTCAGATGCTCATCTGTGTTTCTGCTGTCCTTGCTGTTGGCTGTGGATCTGGCAGGAAGCCCTTGTCATTTCACCACTGCCAGGGTCACGCCCGGGACCCCGACCCATGGGAGCTGTGTTTGGCACACACGTGCCCCAAAGGTCCTTTGAGCACTTGGGTTATCACTGGGGGGGGTTTCCAGATACTATCCTGAGGACTCTGCCCTGTGCATGTGTCTTACATATAAGTGATCCTCGCACACTGGCATCTACCTCGCCCTGTGCTGCCCTCCCCTGCCCCACCCCGCCCCGCCCCACCCTGCCCCAAGCCCAACACTTACCTAATCCTTGCTGTCCTGACTCCTGGCCACCAGCTCAGTTCCTGTCGTGACTCTGCCCATCTGTCAGGGCCATAATGGCTCTGAGGCCTGGCTGTGTTTCGGTTTTCTTCGTTTAGTCCTTGCCCATGGACCTAACTCCTGTTTTCCTTTGGAGAACAGCTGACCTGAGCTTGTTTTCACTAAGGTCTTAGTTGGGCTCTCTAGATGTAGAAACTAATTTCCATTCGGTTGTCATGGGCACTGGCTGAGGAAATGCCTAGGGCCAGCCAGTCCTCTGACCTTGTGTGTTAGCAAAATGTGTGTGTGTGTGTGTGTGTGTGTGTGTGTGTGTGTGTGTGTGTTTTAACTTTACCTATACCCACTATAAACCTAAATATACTTACTAAAATTTCATGCATTTCTTTAATTTGTGAGGTGTGTTGGGGGTGTCACTGTGTGACTTTCTAAGCTTGGGTCCAACCAGTGCCCCTGGGTGCTCCTTGGGGCTTCCATGTGCAGAGTGGTGGAGAAGAGAAAGGGTGCTTAGCTTCAGGGACATTGTTTGGAAGGTGGGGAGAGTGGGGGAGGTGCCTACCATGTCTGTCATCTGTGGTGCTTACCAGCCCTTTCCTGTTCTCTGCCCTTGCCGTCCTGTTTTGGGTAACCATCACCTTGGGAGCTAACCCTGAGGACATCTGGTTTTGCTTCTCTGTGTCTAGGCACAAAAGGGACATGGTGGAATTGGGTACAATCCAGTACTTTGGGCTTTGGGGTACTGGGTCAAGTACAAGCTTTAGGCCATTACCTCAGGCTGCCTGCGGGCCATGAACTGTTATCTCTAGCTCTCTGAGAGACCACTGTCTTCTCTCAGCCCTTGTGTCTCCTCTTGGGGTCTGGGCTCACGGAATAGCTCATGGCAGTGCTTGAGGACTGAGATGCTGTAGAGTCTGCTGAGCCAGTCTGTGTCTTGAGCTGTTCTTGGGTGTCAGCTCTTAGAGGCAGTTCCAGATAAAGGCTAGACCCAGGACCCTCCAGACTGCTTGGAGGTTTCGTGAGGTGGTGATGGCAGTGTGCAGCGTGGGTGTAGGGCTGCTCGTCCCCTTCAGGTCTCGTGCCATGTGGTGGCCTTTTGGCTGGAGGGGTTAGGAGGGATCCTAGGCCATGTGCTGATGGCTGAGACCCTTCTTGGGACTCCACGCAGCACTTGGTTGCTGCCTCCTGAAGGTTATGGGATATAGGAGAGAACTAGAAAGGCTGGAAGCTGGCTAGCAGAGGGCTGAGGCCCTGAGCTTGGAACCCTGAAATTTCCGTGGTGCTGGGCTAGGGGCCCTGAAGTCTCTGCTATCCCCTGTGGTGGACTCCTGATGTTTTCTTTCTTCTCTTTACAGGGAGCGTCTGCAGCATCTGGGTGAGAGGACCCCTGTTTGTGTGTACATGAGGGATGAGGTAGGTGTTGGCCACCCGACTGCTCTCCTACACCAGCAGCCCAGCCCACTTTCCAGCCTGGAAATCTCACTGACTTGAGTCTTCAAAGCCGCGGCAGGAGCAACAGCCCCTGAAAGCATGGAGTGTTCTGTGGAAAAAAGCGGAACAGCCGGCTCCACTGGAAGCCGACCACGGCCGCCTAGGCTGCTCCCGAAACCTCCCTCAGTGCCCTGTTTGTTTTTTCAGCTTCTCTCAAAGCCGGGGAGTCACAAAAGTGGTTTCATTTTAGTAAATATTTGCTTTGCTCCGTGTTTTGATCTTTTTCAAACCCAAGTGCAGCGTGGTGCAGGCAAAGCTGGCAGTGAGGCCGTGCCGGCCCGCCAGCCCCGCCTGCCACCTTGAGGACCCCTCCTAGCCCTGGGTCCCCTGACCTCACAGGGGCTTTTTGTTTCTTCCCTGGCCCAGTGCCTTGTCCTGGCTTAGGCAGAGGCGTGCAGTCTCTTCGGGTCCTCAGGAAGGCCCTGGGGTGGGACAGGACTTTTCTCTGTTATCCCCGCTTGAGATGCTTCAACCCAGGGCTGTGTGGGGTGTAGGAGGCTGCTCTGACCACATTCTTCCTGTGGAGAGATGGCCACAGGACCCCTGCTTGGCCTGATCACCCTGCTTGGCCTCATACTCTGGGTCTCTCGGATAGCTCCTCAGAGGGCCAGCATTGGTTTAGTGGGTGTGGCCTGTCTTGCCTGAGCCCTTCCTGCCTTGAGCTGAGTTGTCAGAAGTGACCTGGGAGAGGGGAGGACCTAGACAGCCTGGGCAGTGTTTCTAAGTAGCTGAGGCTGGAGATAGTAGAGCAGTTGCCACAGTCACTCTGGTGTGCAGAGAGGGATCTGTCACCCAGGCCAGGCCAGGCCAGAAGAGCACGAGGCCATGCATGCTGACTTGGGGCTCTTACAGCTCAAAGAGTTTTGAAGAGTGGTGCCACCACCTTGCCTTCAGTCTACCAGACAGGGTGGACTCTCTGTGGCCTGGTTGACACCTGTGTGGTACTAAGAAGAACCTGATGCAGGGACCTATCTGTCTAGAGCCTCCAGACTCAAGTTGCCTGCTGTCTCTTGCCTATTGTTGTAGAGGGCCATGAGGTTGACTGGCATGTGGTGGCCTGGGGCTATGACAGGTCTAAGTGTTTAGAAAGATACTAGGGAGGCCCATGGAGATAGATGCTGGCCAGTGATGGTTCTGGAGCCTGGAGCCTGGAGCCTGGAGCCTGGAGCCTGGAGCTCAGGGAGTCATTGGGAGTCTGGGGCTTGCAATCTGCTCTGATCCCCAAGAAGCCCTCTGTGAGCCTTCAGTCTCCTGTCACTAAGCAGAGTGAGGGCTGAGCACAGGATTCTGGGTAGCTGAGTCTGCCCTCTCTAGACATGGTGGGCTTAGTGCACAGCTGAGGTCAGGCCAGGTCAGGAGACAGATGGCTAGAGGGTCCTCATTAGCTGCAGAGCAGTTGCATACTTGCTGTCACACAACATGGGGACTCTCGGGGATAGCTGAGGGGTGTGGATGGGGGGATTTTATCAACCAGGGCTGGGTAGGTAGAAGGAGTTGTTCCAGGCTTGAGGATCCAGGCAGGGGCCCATGTGTCCTTTGTTTTTCTGCAGGTGACTGGTAGAACTGCCTTGCAGAATACAACGCTTCAGTCACTGGGCCTAACAGGCGGTAGTGCCACCATCAGGTAGGGGCATCAGAGACTCTAGGCTTGGAGATTTGTTTAGTAAAAGAAAGGGAGCCAGGTGTGACTCATGCCTATAATCCCAGCACTTCAGAGACTGAGGTGGAGAACCTGGGGGAGGAGGAATATGGAAAAACTGGGGAGAAACTGTGCCTGGGATTAGGAATGTGGGTAATGTGGCACTCTTGGTGATTGGTGACCATAGCTGCCTTCAGGGACAACTCCTTCCAGCCATTTTCTTTTTTCTCCTCTGTAGAGAGAAGTGGATTTCACAAGGGACCCTGGAGGAGGGAAGGGCCACTCACTCTGTGGTATCACACTCACTGTTTTGCTCCCCCAGGTTTGTCATAAAGCAGTGTGACACCGTGGGCAAACAGGAGCCCATTGCAGTCAGGAGCAAGGCCCCAGGAAGTCCAATCTCCTCCATGTCAGCTGACCAGGCATCTAGCAGCCCCTTGCTTCCTTTGAACTCTGGGGAGTTCAGCAGGGGAGACCTGAACCATCAGGGTGATGCAAACACCTCAGAGGCCAGCCTTGGGAGTGGCCCAAAGCCAGCAGATGCTCAGACAAAGCAAAGCACAAAGGAGTCTGCATCTGCCCCTTTCGTTCCCTTCTCTGGTGGGGGGCAGCGGCTGGGGGGCCCTTCTGGGTCCTTGAGATCTCTGACATCACATTCAGCCAAGTCTCTCAAGTCTTCCTCTGGCTCTGGAGGCCCTTCTAAGCCCAAGAAGTCAAAGCCTGGTGAGGAGCCCCAGCAGGAGCCTGAACCGGTAAGGAGTATATTGAGGCCTGGGGCTTTCTCCTGACCAAGACTGAATGCTGGCCATGCTGGCTATGGTGACCACAGTTTTTCAGGCATCTCCTGGAAACAGGACTGTCTGAGCTTCCCATTTAACATGTGGAAATATGAACTGTCCATATCATCACCAGCATGCTCATTCCAGTGGGGTGACTGAGAACAGCAGCTACCTACCTTCTTGCCTGGCTGGGAGGTTTTGATAAGGTGAAAGTGGCTTTGAGCATTGATTGTCCCATGCCAGGCATCTTTCCTGTCATCTTGTTGCTGGGCAGCAGGTTTGAGACACAGATGGAGATTGTGTTAGGTAGGAGTGAATTGTGTAAGAAAGGCAGTGAAATTGTCTGTGGGCCAGGATAATCTAGAATGTCCTGGAAGGTTTAAACAGGGACTTGAGCTTGCTGGTAGGGATGACTTTGGTATGGAAAGTACTTCTGGCTGTTGCTCATCTTAGTTGGGAGGAGAGAGCAGTTCATTCTCCTGAGCTCTCAGAAAGTGGCCTGCTCAGTGGTCCCTACTCTAACATAACCTGTGCTGTGTTACTTTTTGAATGGTGGGCTCTCTTGGGATCAAGCTCGTTACTGTGCAGTGCACCTGTTGCTGTGAGTTTACATTGCAGTGCGCCCGGCATTGCAGTGCACCTGTTGCTGTGAGTTTACATTGCAGTGCGCCCGGCACTGTGGTGCGCCTGTTGCTGTGTGTTTATATTGCAGTGTGCCCGGCACTGCGGTGTATCTGTTGCTGTGTGTTTACATTGCAGTGCGCCCGGCATTGCAGTGCACCTGTTGCTGTGTGTTTATATTGCAGTGCACCTGTTGCTGTGTGTTTACATTGCAGTGCACCCGGCACTGCGGTGCGCCCGGCACTGCGGTGCGCCTGTTGCTGTGTGTTTACATTGCAGTGCGCCTGGCACTGCGGTGCACCTGTTGCTGTGTGTTTACATTGCGGTGCGCCCGGCACTGCGGTGCGCCTGTTGCTGTGTGTTTACATTGCAGTGCGCCTGGCACTGCGGTGCACCTGTTGCTGTGTGTTTACATTGCGGTGCGCCCGGCACTGCGGTGCGCCTGTTGCTGTGTGTTTACATTGCAGTGCGCCTGGCACTGCGGTGCACCTGTTGCTGTGTGTTTACATTGCGGTGCGCCCGGCACTGCGGTGCACCTGTTGCTGTGTGTTTACATTGCGGTGCAGACCCATTTAACTAGTTTTACGGAACAGTTCTTCATCATTTTCTCCTGTTCTTGTTTTTTTGAGAACAGAGTATTACTGTGTAGTCCAGACTGGCCTTGAACAGAGATCTGCCTGATTCTTTCCCCTGAGTGCTGGAGTTAAAGGTGTGCACTACCATGCCTTGTACAGCTCTTTGTCTTGTTCTGGGTCCATATTTGAGCTGCAGCTGTCGCTGTTACCTCCACCCCATTTATCTCTGATCCTCCTTACCATGCCAGCCTGGTGGTGGGTGATTCCTGCCACCCCTCAGGGAGTGGAAGAATGTTTTATTTTAGATCACTCTTTGTGGACAGTCGATGGGCCAGGATGTGGCCTTGTGAACACCTTTTCCCGGCCTGGGGTGGCACTCCTGCCAGAGGCCACCTTCGCACCAGGGGTGGGGTGAAGGTCCAGGCCATGCCAGTGTCCTTTTCCCCTGTCTCCCCTGCACTGGCTAACAGCCCTGTCTAGTAGGAAAACATGGTGTGGGCCACTGTGGGCTGTTCTGCCCTCAAAGCTGGTGTATTTTTCTGTTTGTCTCATCTTTGGAACTCTGTAGCTTAGACAGAAACATCCTCTTGGGAAGTTGTGTGCCATGGGTGTTCCCATATGCACACATTTTTTTGCTTCAGGTATGGCATCTGCTTGTCCTTAGGCCCTCTGGGCAACTCTAGAGTACCCTCCATGAATAAAACTCACCTGAAGAGTTCCTCAGAAAATACTGAAGTTCCTGGGCTGTCAGTTCCACTCCTTCATCGGCTTGATCGTGGGAAGGAAGGGCCCCAGTCTTCCAAGCAGGATGTCATTTAGCAAGACCTGTGGTTTCTTGCCCAAGGGCTGGAGAGGGTCTTTCTCTGGCTAGCACATTGCCTGACATTAACCCTGGGCCAGGCTACGAGGTAGCCATGGCCTGGAACCTGGAGTCTTGTAGCTGGCATCTTAAAAGAAGGCAGCTGTTTGGGAAGGATGATTAAATTTACTTATTTTCCTAAAAATTTTTGAGATATTATTTTATGTTTTTGGCTTTTCATGACAGGGTTTCTCTATATAGCCCTGGATGTCTTAGAACTCGCTCTGTAGACCAAGCTGGCCTTGAACTCACAAGAGATGCACCTGCCTCTGCCTCCACAGTGCTGGAACTAAAGGCCACCTGGCCTTTATGTGGGTTCTGAGGACCTGTAATCCCATCCTCATGTTTGTTGAGTGAGTTCCGTAACCACTAAGGCATCTCCTTAGCCCTTTTGTTTTTTTCTTTCTTCCTTCCTTCCTTTTTTTTTTTTTTTTTTTTTTTTTTTTAGATAGCTCTTGATCATGTAGCTAGGATGAGCTTGATCTTGTGACCTTCCTATTTCATCTGTCCAAGTGCCACCAGGCCTGGCTTGGAGAGAGGTTTGATTGGACACAAGTTTCCTGCCTGGGATATCATTATTAGGCAGCTTCCTGGTCCTCAGACCCAGACTCTGAAAGCAGTCTGGGACTCATGTTGTCACTTGTTTCACTCTAAAGTGACATGGGTGTAGGTGGTGTCCCTACCTGCACAACTCTACTTTCTTCTGCCCTGTTCCTCGTGGCCCTGCTCTTACGATGCTCACATTCCCCTTGGTGGTGAGGCACTGGTGGGTTGCTGTCACTACTGTTAATAGTGTTTGGAGACAGGACATCCCGTGAAGTGGACAGTCTGACTGGGCACATCCCCATTGTGCAGGCCCATGGCTTACATTCAGATTTGCTGTGGGTTTGGACACAGATATAATGACAGAGGCCACCATTTGGGAGAATGTCTGCTGGGGTCCTTTCACTGCCTAGTGTACCCTCTGTGCTTTGCCTCTTTATCCGTCTCTCTCCCCTAGTTTGGCCTCCTCCAGCATCCTCTATGTTTTTTTTGGGGGGGCAGGGGGTTCCCATCCTGTGATTGACGGATGTACGTATACTCTGTGGTTTGATCCTCCTCATTGCTCATCGCCCTCCCACCCACCACACTTGGAGATCCTATACTGCTGGGCATGCTGATAACATCTTCATACCAGCCTGCAGTCTTACAGCTCCTCAGTGCCTTGGGCTGTTGGCTACATCGGACAGTTGCCAATGAGATGGGTGGTGGTGGTGGTGAAAATGTAAGTGTGTGTGTGTGTGAGTGAATGTGTGAGTGTGTATGTGTGAGTGTGTATATGAATGTGTGTGCATGAGTGTGAGTATGTGTTAAAGCAGCTGTATTTTAATTTTAATTGTGTATGTATGTGTTTGTGTATGTGCATGAGGCCAGAAGAGGACATTGGATCCTCTGGAGCTGGAGTTGTAGGCTGTTGTAAGCTGCTAAGAATCAAACTTCGGTTGTCTGCAAGAGCAGTAAGCACTCTTAACTGCTGAGTGCTTGGAGTGTGTTTCCTTTTTTTTTATGTTTTTTTAAGACAGCTTTTGTTTTTTAAGATTTTATTTATTTATTATGTATACAACATTCTGCTTCCATGTATATCTGCACACCAGAAGAGGGCACCAGATCTCATTACAGATGGTTGTGAGCCACCATGTGGTTGCTGGGAATTGAACTCAGGTCCTCTGGAAGAGCAGTCAGTGCTCTTAACCTCTGAGCCATCTCTCCAGCCCCTGGAGTGTGTTTCCTAACACTCTGCCTTTGGTCATTGAGCACACCCCTCCACGTTATTGGCACCTGAGCTTTGCCTTTGTGCTGTGACGTCCTTCAGCCTCTAGTTTTCCTAACTCCATTGAGTTTCTGCTGTTTTGTGTTGTGGTAGTTGAGTCATTGTGACTGTGATGGTGGTGTCCCCTCTTGCACAGAAAGCCTAGGTAGAATCTAGCTGCTCGGGCCTGTGGAACCTTTGCTCCTGATCTTTGTACTTTCAGAGTTATCAGGTGATGTCTGTGGCTTTGATGTTCTTTGGCTCCATGGATTAATTTTTGTTCTATGTGCAGAGTATGAGAAAGAATTCTCTAGGTTTCCAATGAGTGCTTTGTTCTGACCGGTTTCCCTGTGCTGTCTTCAGCCACAGCTTCCTGCTTGCTCTGTCCCAGTGACATCCAGTCTGTGGGGCTGGTCTCCCTCCCTGCTGGTTCTAGCTGAGGCTCATCTTGGAATGGTTGCCAGAGCAAGTCTCCTCCTTGCCTCTCTTTGCCAAAAGTGACATGTCTCTTCAAGAACTTTATCCTTTCAAATAGTTTTCAGGACGTTAGCCGAGTTCCTGAGAAATTGCTGTTGGAAATTGCGTGGAGTTATGTTGAGTTTCTGTTTACTTTGGGACAATTAGTCTTCCCGCTGTTGGGTCGTGGCACCTCAGCTGTGGACCTCACTTTTTTTTTTTTATTTTTTTTCTATACAGTTGTCGTGTTCTACCCTTTAATGTAGGACTTGGACACTTGAGATTACTTTTTGTGGTATGGCAAATAGTATCAAGAATTCCTGATACACTGTCACAGATGGCCCTTTATCACTTCCAGGAAGTCTGTCTGCATTTCTTTTGGGGTCTCTGTGACTGTCTTGGGCCATCTTTTATATGTCAGACCCATCTTGTCTCTTTTAGTGTTCTTTTGTCATGGCAGGCCGTAGGGAAACATTCTATGGCTGTACTGTTAACAACCTTAAGAAAGGTTGTTAAGGCTAAGGGCATTACTCCTGAGTTTTCTAAGATCTTTCTCTTCAGATACAGGTGCCGAGATCTACAGGCAGCTTTTTTTTGTCTTTTTGTTTTTTGTAACAGGGTTTCTCTGTGTAGCCTTGGCTGTCCTGGCACTCTGTGAACCAGTTCAGGCTGG